ACTGGCTATCATAAAGAAGAGTTTCTAACACAATATATGTTTTATCTTTGCGATAATCAACCAATCAATAGATTAACGTCTGACCTGAGTCGCCTTGCGTACAAACAGAACGAACCAGACAAAAATACTGCTACCACAAAATGTGACTACTAAGAGAGAAGACAGACAATGAAATTCGAAGATATCCTTGTTATCCTTGGGGATTTTGGTCGATATCAGCAATTCCAGTATTGTCTCATCTGCATCCCGATCATGCTCTGTGCGTGTAATGATATGGCAAACACGTTCCTCAGTGCTTCATCCGATCACTACTGTAGAGTACACGACAATCAAACATATCAGGAAAACTCACGATTGAAGAACTGTACAATTCCGTACGAAGTTGATGAAGGTGAGGTTGAATGGTCAAAATGTGATCGGTACAACGTCACGGACCAAGACTGTTACGATGACGAGACGGAGGTAATGCCATGTGACAATGGATGGGTGTATGACACAAGTACATACGAGAGAACAGTCGTACATGATGCAAGTATATTTAATTAATTTTGCGTAGAAAATTATATATTTGATAAATTTATATACCGAGAAGGATTGACTAATCAAATTCCCATCTGCATATCTGGCTAATTATATTACAAATAAATGTCGATGTTATTGCACGAAGGTGAATTGTATTAATCTCTACAATCGCTTTCATCGTTTGCTCTATGCTGTCAACTGTTGTGTTTGTTGACATTGGCGCTATATTACAACTGTTCTAATATATGTTTCGTGTTTGTGTAGTTTGATCTAGTATGTGAGAAGGACTGGATGAAACAGCTGTCAAAAGCAATTTATCCGCTTGGCTCATTATTCGGCACAGCTGTAATTGGTCAATTATCGGACAAGTAAGTAAATATCACGCATACAACTGCGGCCTACACGTCATATGACTTCATACATCAACCTAAGCTCTTTGCTTTTAAATCTTGATTCTCTATCATGGGCGAAATAATATTGTTTATTTATAAAATTATTAAGGATATTACGGCAGCGAATTATTTCTCTCAACTATGAATAAGCTGTTTCATTTAATATCATAACTCAGTTGGTATAGAGACATGTTTACGTTACTGTGTAAACGCAGTAATATTCCGGCTCCGCCCAATGAGAACCATAATTCTATATACATCAGATATTTTTATACATAAGTTAGTTGAAATTGACATATAACAAGAACATGTGAGTGTATTTGTTGTTTTATTGGTGCACACCAGGGTGTCATGGTTTTAACTTCTTGGCGAAAATTGTCGGTGTGCAGGTTGGAAATGAGTAATTTCATTTTTTTTCAGATTTGGTCGAAAACCATGTTTTTTCTCTTGTTTATTATTACTGATTCTCGTTGTATTCATCACGGCATGTGCTCCAGTATACGCTGTGTTTGCTGTGGGTCAGTTTTTCATTGGGTTTCTATCAGTTGGACTATTTACCGTTGCATTTGTTCTCGGTAAGTATTATTCTTTAATAGTAAAAGCGACCTAACGGTCAAATACCTCTTCTGTTGTCTTTGTAGAGTGTCGTTCTCAAAGGCTGATAATGTTCTGTAACGATGCGATTAACTAATTGCCATGGTTATTAATGTTCCTACCATTTTCTTCCCATATCACATCCATGGTAGTTTATTTGGTTGTTATCAGTTATATCAGCAAGAAATGGACAAATCTCGAATAGGTCAACGCAATGTATCTTCTTACCTTGTATCGAAGCAATTGAGCTGATAGTTTTTAAGTCGAAAAAGCAATTGTTTACAGATGACGTGCAATGTACGACCGACAATCACCTATATGAAAATCTTCACTCTGTTATCTTCAACGACAGCAGAGCTAATAAAGTGTCCTCCTCATGGGCACAATATTGAAAATAGCATGATTTTGTGTAGCAAGTGTCCATAATAATTGCCTAACGTTGTTTCTTTCAAATTGAATATACCCCATTTCTGATATGTTACATTCTCTTGCTAACTTGCAGGTTTAGAGCTGGTTGGACCTGGGGAAGCGTGACCTTGCTGGTATGGTTATACTCATATTCTATGCATGTGGATACATGATGTTAGCTGTCTTCTCAAAAGCAGTCAACGGCAACTGGCGGCAGCTTGAACTATTAATAGCAATTCTTTACGTTCCGTTCCTCTCGTACTATTGGTCAGTCATGTGTATTATTCTCATTGTAAACATCGAGTATTTAAAAATATAAATAAAAGCATCCCCAAACCATATTCAAACTCATAGTCATTGAAGTGAATACACAATTGCAATCGACTAGTTCATAATCATTAAATTTTATATTGCTCATTTCAAGGGACATCATCAACATATTCAATATATCTTAATGTGAAATTGGGAAATTTGGATTATTTGTACCTTTTGTTTTTAAGTAGTTTATACAGAATTATGTTTCATGCAAATCATGAATTTGGTTTCATGTCATGTCATGTTATATTATGTTATTGTCAGGCTAGTTCCCGAGTCTGTTCGATGGTTGATGCAGCAGGGGAGATACCAAGACGCAGAAAAGATTCTTCAAAATGCTGCCAAAATGAATAAAGTTACATTGCCAGAGAATGTTTTGGAGGAAGAAAAACAAGCTCAAGAGACACGTCGGGAAGAACAAGAAAAAGGACAAGTATATCTATATATAAATGTCATTAACCAATCAGTGCATCACACATATATTTAATAGACATATCTTCGGATAAAGTATATCGTGTTCATACGAACACTGCAGCGTAAATGATCACCATTTTTTAACTTTGAATCAAAGTACCTGATTATACTAATATTCATGAAATATACAATTAACGATTTTAATTCATCAATTTTTAGAAAATAAAAAAATACACAGTGCTGGATCTGATGAAAACAAAAAATCTGAGACGTAATACGATTATAATCGCCATCAATATGTAAGTTCAAAAATGTTCTATTTTTTGCAAGGACTTCTGCATCAATAAATGCATCACATACACACACATAGATATATATTTATATTTTTGAATATTGCACTATATAGCTTCTGCAACCTTATGGTGTATCTTGGATTATCTGCCAACACTAATGTATATTCATCCAATGCCTATGCAAGCTTCTTCGTTTCTGGTGCGGTAGAAGTGCCAGCATATCTTTTGTCGTGGTTTTTACTAGACCGAATTGGACGGCGATGGTTGACTTGTATATTTATGTTAGCAGCGGGACTGGCGTTGATATTGATAGTCCCAGTTAGTAATCAATGTAAGAAAGAATTCTCAGATAAATATAAACAGTTGTTAACAACATGATAACATTTTGATGATGATAGTGTGCGGTAAATGTATTTTAAAAAATGACCAAAATCGACTTGTTTTCGATTATTTGCAGTTTATTCTTGAAACATGTATTGTTGCAAAAACTTGCGGCAGTGTAGACAGAGCCTTTAAACAGTCCCACATTCAATGCGTCAACAAACTTATTACTCACTTTGCTATTAATGTGAATATTTAAATCTACAGCACTTAATGAGTTGGTTACTATTTTGGCATTGTTTGGAAAGTTTTGTATTTCTGGGTCTTTTGGTGTAATCTACATATTTGCAGCCGAGATATTCCCAACTCCTGCCAGGTAATTATGTATTTATATAGAACTTAGCTCGTATACAATAAATTAGCAATATCGCTTCTCCAAAAACCTAAGTTGTTCAAATAATGTTATGGTATTACCACATGTATGATTGTACACACACAGAGCTGCTGGTCTTGGATTTACAGGTAGTTTTGGAACATTAGGTGGTATAGCGGCGCCGTTTGTAATGCTTCTTGCCAACTACGTGTGGGGCCCACTTCCGTTTCTTATATTTGGTGTAAGCTCCGTGATAGCTGGTCTCCTAGTTTTACTCCTACCAGAAACAACGGGCGTGCCACTGCCTGAAACATTAGAAGAAGGGGAAATGTTCGGAAAGTAAGTAATAACTCATCTATGTGACTACTTCTCTAGGTATGTTTTATCATAATATATATTATATAAACAACTAGTCGATGTTGTACCTCTCCTTATGTTAATAATACATTGACAAATGCACATTTATCACGTGAACTGCTCAAATAGATTTTAAACAAATACTCATGGGTCATATGTACCAATTTATTTCAATAATATATACTATACACCTTGAGCAGCTCAAGTGATTTACACACACATAACAACCACTAGTCTACAGTTAATAATTCCCCCTATAGACCCAACCCTATATTGCCCTACCCGAATCTACCATACTGTGTAATTCTTCATTAAACATTCTGATATACGGATTCCAACTTTGGAGTTACCCTCAGAACAATTTAGCCAAACACGTCACGGGGAAGGAGCAAGCGTTACGGGGAAAACGGCATTGAACGTTGTGTATAACTGAAACAGATTAACTCGTTTTCTTTTATGAAGTTGTTTTATTGATAAATAATATCTTTGTTTCAGAAAATCGTATCCGCCATCAAGAGATATTGGATTACAAGTGGATCTTCCGGAATTGGATTTAGCTTGTCGTATCTGAAACAATTTCACATTATACATCTCTACATATGATCCAAACTAAAAACACGTATAATAATAACACTGTTATTGAGCTATGTGTTTAAATTATATATAATTATATAATATTTGTCTGACAGTTGTCTAGCCGGATTTGTTCTTCGGGTCAAAGTAATTTTCAACGTTGACTGTCACAAGTTGACTGCACAATAGTTTAATTGCGAAAAAATGGTTGGAATTAATGTTGGTCTTTTGTGATACATGTTTTGAATGCCACCATTTGCTGACATCACATGTCCGATCTGAATTCAAATAGTAGCTCTCATATACTGATATTCGCTTGAGTAACCAACATTCGATTAACTGAACACGTGACGTGGCGAATACTGAAAATACTAGATTAGACCAGTTGCCACGTGGAGTTGTCTCTTTACTTTTTTTTTAATTCTGGGATAAACCGTAAATAACAAGCCATGCACAGTCCCGTTAGTTATCGAATTTAAGATATATAGTTTTGTTTATAGTAATATATTTGGAATATAAATATTTCAGGAATATGATGATGATTTTTTAACATTAAAATGATTGACATCTTCTATCTGATCGTCAAATGAGTACTTGTCCATATTGAGAGATATTACTCTGAAACAGCGCTGCATTGAAACAAAATCGGTCATTTTAAATACATCTATATGTCTATAACATAATGTATAACGAATATATAAAATTTTAACATCAGTCAAAGCACTCTTACCACAAAAGTCTTTGTATAGTCGTTGGTGGATGAAAGTATTTTCGATTTGAATTCGAACTTATAACACGGTCATTTTAATAACTAAAAACGTGACTCGTGCTAAACCAATAAAAAGAAATCTTAAACATACCCGCCCATTGACTCCGAAGGTGACCTTAAAAACACTCGTAAACTAACACAAAGAGCACTTGGTAAATTTATGATTATATTATACAAGTACAATTAACGTAATATTTTACACCGTAAATCAACGAAATTATCTCTCGTATACACTTAAATAATTAAAACGTCATTCAAAGGTCAGTCCGTCCCGTATTACGGACATGCTAATCTCGTGACAAACACTGACAACACCCAATGAGGTATCTAGGTCTTGTTATGTCGCCTGTTTCGAAAATTGCTATACAAGTCTTTAGTAACAGACCATGGTAAGTAAAACATGGCTCAGTTCAGATCACTAAGCCACGTGCATTTCATAGACTCCAGAGGGCGTATTAACATTGACTAATATATCTGTTTGTATATACATCACTAGGATTATAAGGGCAGGTTTGACACCTTTTCGACAACATAACAGCACAGATCAGTTAAAAACCTAAAAATAAGACGATTTTTTTTTTCATATTTGGGGGTCTCATTTTAATATCGTAAATAATACTTATAAAGTGTATAGTGTAATTTGTATGAGTAAACAAAGCATACCTCTCAAACATTGTAATACTTATCTACTCATATACTCATATACAACCAGATGATGTGATAAGACCATGTTTGCTACAACATGACCAACCGCACTTTCAGGGGTATCCATCACTAGATGTAATGGTCGTGTCTATGTTAGCGACCTCAATGACCAGACATAGCCGGTAAAATATTAGTGTTTTTTTGTGAAAAGATTTTCTAGTAAAGTGTTACTAAACAAATTCACATTTCCTTTGAAATAGACGTGGTCTCAAAAGTGGTATTAAACGTATATCCAGCGTACGAACGAACAATGGTGGTGGTACCCCGTCACAAACACACCATGTGACCCCGAGCCCTGTCAACCATGATATTTATTGCTATGTAAGCAAATGAGAGAATGGCTGCATCTTAGTTCTGTGTTGTTAGTCCAGTCACCCAAGCAGGATGAAGTTTGAGGAGATACTCAAAATACTCGGCGAATTCGGCAGGTACCAAAAATGGCAGCTTGCTCTAATTTGTCTGGCCGCTATACCATGCGCTTTTTACAGCATGGCTAATACATTTCTCAGCGCCTCGTCTGACCACTACTGCCAGGTACTAAATAACCAGACGTATACGGACAACTCTATTCTAAGGAACTGTACGATTCCGTACGAGGTTGATGACGATGGCGATATAGAATGGTCAAAATGTGAGAGGTTCAATATAACTAGGTACGATGAATGCGCCTCTGATCAACTTGCTACAATAGAATGTGACAACGGATGGGTCTACGACACGGATACGTATGAGAGTACGGTGGTCCACGAAGTGAGTATGCCGACGTTTTCTTATATTATATTACGTACACCGTCAGGACGTTTTCGTTGTGGCATATAAAGCAACGACAGATGAAGTTTACGGCCAACATTCGAATCATGAGCTAACTATGAATATTCGCTTGATCCGTGTTTTTATACTCGCCCGTATAAGGTCACATTTGTAATATTTTTATTTTGACTTCTCAAACTGTCAATCCTTGTTTCTGTGTTTACGGATAGTGTAATAGTAGAGGCTACTTTACTCAGAATCTTACTAGAATTATCAACTACCAAATACAACAAAAAATAACAGACTTGCAATTCAACAGGGCGTATAAACATACTGCGCATGCTCATATGCAGTCGCATTTTGGTGCCAGTCATAAATAATGTACATATGACTTATTCGTGACCTTATATTGACAATTTATGTTTGTTAGATGAGTATTTGCAGAGTTTATAATCGCATTGATTTTTTCTTATCAACTGCAAAAGCTCAAAGTTCATATGAGGGCCATAATATTATATTTTGATCATTAACCTGCCAGATCCTTACGATCACTTCATTAATCATGACAAAGAAATTATTGATATACAATCGCACATCACATCGAGTCAGTTTACTCTGCAATGCTGCCGTGATACAATAAAGACAGTGTCGGGAGATTATGGTGTGATGCCGGCCCCGATGTCTGTACACCACCCCAATTCTACAGTGCAATATAATATATCATTTTAACGAAAATGCTCTGGAATTACGAAAGTGATGTTTTGAACATTTTATCTTTGATTTACTTATGAAGCTAAATGTGTCTATCGTTCAAGATGTAGCTACTCCTTTGCGTACGGTCTTAAACGAAGCGAATTAAATGACACTTACATACAAGTATGCAAACATTACGATCAGCCTAAATGCTTCATATTTGTCTTATATGTTTTGCGAATATGTACCCTGGGCATTACAAAATAAGGGTTTTGCTCGCATTATCTAGCCCCCACTCTATACCAGACTTCTAAACGGGCAGTAAAAATTGCTGCCCAAACCACCCTATCACGGTATAGAGAATGGCCTCTTATCAGATGGAACTGATAGAACTGTCGACCATAAGTACTGCTACCTGTCTACAGTATATACGAACAATTTTATGTACATTGTATTTCCTTCGCAGATTGTCATGTCAGTAATCATCAATAGCTTGTACTTCGAGATTCCTAATTGACTTCTTTAACTTCAGTTCTGGGTTAATGTCCATTAAAGTGAAATGACGTATATCGCGAGGAAGAAATTGAATGGGTTTTTACATGTTGCCATGATTACGTTGTCTTACTCGCCAAAACACTATACACTGGCTACAATGTCTTTACTCTGCGTTGGTACAGTGCATCAGATAGTATATTACTTATCCTAATGTCGATGGTATATCAGCATAAAATGTGGGTGAATATAAGACAAATTTGCATGCGTTAAATAATATTGCATTTATGTTCCTGCTTCCTAATTACGGCGGAGCAACATTACTAATGTACCGTTTGTAACTCCTTGTGTATTAAATTCATCAAGTCAATTACTAAAAACTTTTGAAATGAAACGTAATTCCATTTATTTATTTATTTATTTATTTTGACCAAAACTGAAATTTAAATTGAAGAAAATTTCAAAGAATTGCTTAACAATCCACATGACCTGGATTTGGGAGACAAATTTAGTAAATATGTGTGCTCCAGACATAGGTGACCCCGCGGTGCTTGTAAAGTCATTGTATTAATGTTCTTTTGTATTACTTTGTGTTTTTCATAAGTTCGATTTAGTGTGTGACAAGGACTGGTTGAAACAGATGTCTAAATCGATTGTTTTGTTTGGAAAATTGGTTGGTGCTTTAGTATTTGGACAACTTTCCGATAGGTAAGAACATACTGTGTTACTTTGTCCTTGCCTGCATTGCAACTCCAGCCAATCTCATGAAGCACACTAACTCAAACAATCTTCAGCCTGCAACAGAAATAAAATAATGTAGAGTGCTTGGTGTCTTCGATCTACATTAAACTGAATTCACATGTTATTTAAAAATGTCACAAACGGCTATTACCTACATACACTTTTTCTCTTTTGTTTTCAGAATCGGACGTAAACCTGTATTTTTCTTCAGTTTAATCTTTGGTATTGTCGTCGGTATCATCACGGCATTTTCTCCTAGTTATGCGTTTTTTGCAGTGGGTCAGTTCTTCTTGGGGACGGCTGCATCTGGGATGTATTTAGTAGGATTCGTAATATGTAAGTCACGTGCTCGTAATCTCCAATAAATTATAATGATCGCACATTTTCATGTTCCGCCCATGTATAATGTTCTCTGGTCAGCTTAGCAATATTTGAATATTGAGCCTGGAGTACATTAAACAAGGAAGTAAAATAAACACGTATCGAAACATTGATTTCAAGAACGTGAAACAAGTATACGAGATTCCTTGCCTAAACAAATATGTAAAGCAGAGTCTCAGTGTGCACGTCATATTCAATGCTTGAATTTCTGAGATGTTCAAAAAGGATTATTCTGTTCATTATTAAAACTTCTAAAATTATAGTTTTATGCAAATCCTTATAATTATGTTGTTAATGGTTAACATGAAATACATAGAACTTACTTCCGGTAATCGAGAAAGAAAACCGTTCGTGCCGGTTTGTTTTTCAATTTAGAACAAATTGCTACACGTACAACAATATACTTTATGTAGGTGTGGAATTGGTTGGCCCTCCAAGACGTACGTTCGCAGGTACGATGATCACCGCATTTTTCGCTATCGGTTACATGATATTGGCCGTGATAGCCTTTCTGTTGGATGGACACTGGAGGAAACTGCAATTTACATTATCAGCGTTGTGTATACCCCTTCTTTCGTATTATTGGTAAGTCCATATATTGTTTTTTATGTTATGCAAATTACCTGGTTTATTATTCACATCATCGATGCTGCTGTCATGAATTTGTTTTTGCGTATCTGTTGACCGACTTAATTAACTGATTATTAGCGAATTGCTGTGTTATGTCCGTCATCGTTTAGGTCTATTTGAAGTTTTGGACGGAACTTGGCTCAGTGGTTTGGAACTAATTACAAGATACCGTCGCTATTCTGACATCCGTAGTTATTAATGTAGTGAACGATTAATCAAAAGATATGACGTATTCAGTACTTAGTGTGATTGGCTTTATGATTGAAGGTTACGCCCTAGAGTCTTTTTACTGCATTGGAATTGGTTAGAGTTTTGAAAATGAATAAAGAGAGTTTGAGTTGGTCTTGGCGAATACTCCACGACAGACGCAGTCCTGGAGAGACTTGGGGCGAGCCTTGACGCAGTCTAAGAGAGTCTTGGGTCAGCCTTGCGATATAGTCTTGGGGACTTTTCCCCAGGGCGCTGTGTCTTATAGAGTGCTCCAAAAGATCGACTAAGACGAGAG